GGGGGCTGGGCTCTCCTACACCTCTCAGCAATCAAAATGCCCCCAAAGACACGGCCACTGACCATTTGATGGAGGTAATCCCTCAGCTGAGGTGCCCTCTTCACAGGCACATCAAGTTGACCACCAAGATGAGCCACCAAAAACTGAACAACCCTAGGCTTGCCTGTTTCCTAGAGGAGTGATAATATTTAGAGGCAAGGGGCCAAATATGGGGAATCCATTCACCAGTGCCACAGCGTTCACCGTGTCTACCCACTCCCCAATAGCATCCAGCCAGCCTTACCTTCAGAGCAAACCAGCCGGAAACGGGGAAGGTGAGCAGCAGCAGCAAGAACCCCAGGAAACTGATGAGGCCGTGGCAGAGACAGGAGGGCCAGCTCTCAGGTGCATCTGGGGACAAAAGAGCAGAAGCAGCCACAGAATACCAGCTGGGCTTGGCAGGACAACTTCAAGTACAGTGTGCCATGAGTACAGTGGGTCATGTGCACATTTTGCCTGCCTTCTGCCTCAGAGGCTCCCCATAGCTATTTAGGGACCAGGCATCATAACTAACTGGTTTCAAGTGCAACACCCCACACAAAGCTTTTCTCTCCTAGGTAAGAGCCACTGAATCTGAGAACACAACCCATGTGGTGTTCTCTTTGCTGGACAGAGCAGGAATCAACAACTCCTTGTCTAATGTGTATTGCCCACCCAAACCTGGAAGAGAACACTCATGCTGTGGAACTAACTTCTATACTTTCAAGGGGTCCTTACGGAGAAGGGGCCTCGGCTAAAAAGGATAAAACAGTGATTGTTCATCAATAAAAGTCACAGCGAGACTAAAGTGTCCCTTTCTAGTTCAGTCCTCACTCCTGCTTTAATACCCTAAAAAATTTTTAATGTGTTTTTCAATTCAAGCCCTTTGGAGAGAAGAGCTGGGAAGATGAGCCTAAAGACAAAGATTCTAACCCTTGCAGAACCAAAAATCGAGAATGGGTGTTGAGCAGACATCCCTGGAATCTAGGGTGAGATTGTTGTCTGCTCTTCTCCCAGCCCTAGACAGGGAGACCAAAAGAGGCTGTTCTACGCTTCAGGGAGTCCCTGCCTGCAGGGCTTTCTAAGTCCCAGACTCTGATCTTTTCAGGAAAGGAATCTTTGGTCAGAGGCACTCCTAAGAGCAGGGGGCAGAATACAGGAAATCCATTCATCAATGCCAGAGTTCAAGGTACTATCAATACAGAAGTACCACAGAGGGCCCAGAGTCTTCAAGGTCAGGCCAAAGAAGCCACAGAAGGCTCTGGAGCAAGAAAGAGCCAAAGCAAATAAGCTGGCCTGCCTTTTTGTTCTATGTTTATCTCACCAGTACACAGGAGACTCCTGGTCCCTGCGCTGCTACCCTAGGGTGATTCTTTTTCCATTTCTCTGCAGGTGCTTTTAGGTTGCTTGTGGCCGCCTCTGCCTAGGATTCTGTTTTCTTTCTATGCATGATGAGCTATCCTGAAAATAGTAACGTGATGAGCTGAGATTCGGGAAGATGGGGCTACGCTGGTTCCGAAGCTGTAGCTGGTGGTCCTAGCGAAGACAAAGTATTCCAACGCCTTGTTTGGCACCCTCTCCACATCTTATGCCCTTCATGCTCCCTCCTCCTAGAGGCAAGGAGTACAAGTGTGGGGGTACTGGCTAGTCCCTATACGGTCCACCGTGCTGGGCAGCCACTCACCGGCCCCCGGCCCCACGCCGCCCGGCTCTGGGGACAAGCAGCCCTTCTGCGAACCCAGAAAGCCGAAACTCGACTGCTGGAAACGATCGAAATCCCCTAAGGGCAGCGCCCGGTAGCCTGATCTGCCGAACATGACTTCTGGCCCGGGACACGCCCCGCGCCTCCACCGGCCGCCGGCTCTGCCCAGCCCGCTGCAGCTCCTCCCCGCCTCACCCCCGCCGCTTCCGGCTTCACTTGCGCCGCCAAGGGCAGTGGCCGCGCAGGAGCAGGAAGCAGGCCGGAACCGTCCCCGCCGTCCCACAGCGCCCTCTGCGCTGGGAGGACCGAACTGCGGTCGCACAGTTTTGGGGATGTAGCCTTGGTTCTGATGTAGAGCTTCTTGAAAGGTGATGACCACCCCTTTCCTAATCTTTTACCTGGCCTTAAGAAAGGAGGAGAGGAAGTTTGGCTTAAAAAGACATTACAGGAGCTGGGCGGCGGTGATTCACGCCTTTAATTCCAGCACTCAGAACCAGGCGGATCTCGACAGGCACCAAAACTACACAGAGAAAGAAACCCTGTCTCCAAAAACCAAAACCAAAACCAAAACAAACAAACAAACAAACAAACAAGCAAGCAAGCATCACAGGAGCCTTTTCTCCAGAATCAAGGAAATGTCATCTGCCTCAAGTACTTCTCCAAACTCAACACACTGAGGAATGTGCTTTACCCAGATTTAGACTTCCTCCTGGGCATGATTGGCCTTTTTCTGTTTCCCCACAGCCCAGAAAACAGACCTGTCATATAGAGCACTGTAGTTACTTGCTTAATGGTGGCAGACCCAAGTCACTGTGGACAAGGTGAAGTCAGAAGGCCTGAACTTTGGTATAAAGGAGAAATTCTACATTCAGACACCTCAGGAAACATGGCCATGTGGTGGTGGTGGTGGTGGTGGTGGTGGTGGTGGTGGTGGTGGTGGTAGTGGCAGAGTTATCACAGCGCTACATCAGAGCCCTTGATCCAGGTACTTGAGGTAAATTGTCTTTCCATGGCTTTAGAAAACCCAAAGGGAGGGAGCAAATGTACTCCAATAGGATGCTAGGGAGGCTGTCAGGAGGCCATTTTATAAAACCAGAAAAGAATGAAGCTTTCCCAGTCTTGCTTCCCCAGATCCCTACCATAACCCATTTCTAAGTCCCTCTGCCTATGATTGCTGTGCTGGCTAATTTTATGTCACCTTGACACAAGCAAGCTAGAGTCATCAGGGAAGAGGTAACTCCAATTGAGAAAATGTCTCCATAAGATTGGGCTGCAGGCAAGCTGTAGAATATTTTCTTAACGATTGATGTGGGAGGGCCCATCCCATTGTGGGTTTTATAAGAAAGTAGGCTGAGCAATCCATGGGGAGCAAGCCAGTAAGCAGCACCCCTCCATGGTCTCTGTATCAGTCCCTGCCTCCAGGATCCTGCCATGTTTGAAGGAAGCCATCCCTATCCTGGCTTCCTTCACTGATGGACTACAATGTGGCACTGTAAGCAGAATAAACCCTTTCCTCTCCAACTTTCTTTTTGGTTATGGTGTTTTGTCAAAGGTCACAGCAATAAAAACCATAAGACAAGTTGGTACCAGGAGTGGGGTTTAGATGTAGTCAAGTTGACAACCAGGAATAACCATCACAATTCCACTCCTTGTCAACTTGACACACAATCATGTCTCCTTATGTTGTGATTAATTTCCAAGTGAAAACAATAAGCAGGTCATAATAATGCCTAAATATAATATAACTATCCCACAAATAAATTGCAAACACATTATATACTTAACAATGTGTCATAATTACTCCTAACATAACTATCCCTCATACAACTGCAAATACATTATAAATTTAGAATAGGTGACAATGTCCCTTGAGGGGCATTCTTTTAGTATCTAAAACTTAAATATGATAACCATTGATATTCTGTTAATTGATGTTACATCACATGATAATGAAATTGAGGAAAAAAACACAAATATTTGCACAAACACATTCTTAACAAAATATGACAGAAACAACTGCCCACTCCATTTGACTGTTCTTAGTTTGATGGCCTAATTTTAAAGGCCAAGGAATACAGGTCAGCCTGGAGGTATGGGACACTTGCAAGGCCTCTTGTAGTCTCTAGGATGTTGTGTCTCCCTTCAGCATCCCCCTCACCCCAACTCTAAGTTTACAACAGTGGGGACCTGTCACCATCCCTTCTAATCTGTTTCATATAGGAACACGGCGTAGGATGCATGTACACAGGGACCAGAAAAGTGGGTGGGAATAGATTGAAGTGGAAGCCAAAGGCACTGGCCAATGAGACTAACTGCAGGTGTGCCTTTTCCCTCGCCCACTGGATTCGGAATCTCTTCTCACTGGCCAAGAGCTCCCTTTCTATCTCCTTGCTCTCTTCACTGCTTCTGGCCAGTTCTCCCCCCTGCCTCCCTGCTCTCTCCCACCTCACATTTACCAGACCCACGGTCACCCAAGGCATCACCCTGTTCTGTCCTTCACCAATGCCCTCCCACCTGACTCAGGTCCTCCTCAGCATCCCACGGCCCCTTCTCATAAGCCTCCTGTCTCAAGGTCATCAGCCAGACGTAGCTGACATCGTGTACCAAACCCTTCACCGACTCTCAGATCAAATAGAACTGGCCCATCTCCCGCCTTGTGATTAATCTCCTCTTCTCGGGTATCATTTTCATGACCTCCATCTCAAATCTGAAAATGGTCCTGTCTACTTCCCAAACAAGCTCTCCTCTTTCGGACCTCCACTCCTTTCCAGGTGCCTGTCTTTAAAGTGTCCCCACAACCCTGAATCCCTAGTGACTTCCTCCTGCATGCTCCATTCTCAGCGGAGGGATGCCTTTCCAGGCAGACCCATTCCAATACTGGGTCTAAGTCTCCATCTGGGGTGACTTGGGTGTTCTCTCAAAGAGGGGTTTATTTCTTAATAAAGAAAGAGCCTCTCAAAGAGGGGTTCTTAACTAGGGAGGCACGAAGCTGTGAGGTGAGCTGAGTAGCTCACAGACAGAACTGGAGCAGGGAAATGCCTGTCAGCCAGTCAGCTCTGCATCTCTCCTGGTATGCATATTGTGAGCGTGGCAGAGTCATGCCACCACTGTTTGTTTGGTTGGTTAATCTCTCTGGTTCTACCCGAGGGGGCTCCATAGCTCCCCAGTCTTTCTCTTCCAACTCCCGAAGTGTGACTTTAGAACCAGCCTCTCCGCCCCTAGACACGCCCCAGCCCTGTCTCACTTCCTCTCGGGAGGCGGGCCCTCGGCAAGCACCGCCCCGCTGGACAGCTCAGTTTTCTGGCTGCAGTCTGGGATTCATCTCCCGCCCTCACAGACCCAAATCCAGAAATCGAAACTGCACCGGTTCCCATGCAGAAGGCGCCCTCACCCACTGGATCTCCCTGCCTCCAACAGGACCCTGCCCTGACCCCCACGCCCACCATGCCTCCCCCGGAGGACCCCTCCGAAGACCATGAACACAGCCAAAGCCCCGCGGAGGTACTGCTGGGTTAGGAGATGAAGGGCTGATAGGGCTTTATTTGTTTACTTTGGTGGGGGAGTTGAGAATGAAGAAGGCTTTTATAGAGATGGCAGTTTAGTGTCCTAGAGAGACACCCAGGTCCTCATCCTCCTGTCTGGGCAGGGGTAGGACGGATAGCATAGAATAAAAAAGAGGAACCAGAAGGAGTTAGGGGAGCCATGCGTATAGTCGGATTGCAATGAGATGGGCCACTCCTACCCCCTGGAGCCTGGTCTTTTAGCTCCTACCTCAGTTGTAAAAAAACGTCCAGGGAGAAGGCCAGGCCAGGAGTCCCCTTTGCCCTAGCCTGGAGCTAAAGACGTGCCCCAAACACGACAAAACCATTTACACCCCCTCACAGCGGGGGCAGCACATGCCAGGAGCAGCAGTACTCAAGCTGGAGGTGCTGGAGGAGGATTGTAAGTTCCTGGCCAGCCTGGTCTGCACAGAGAGTTCAAGACTGTTGAGGACGGCACAGCAAGACCCTGTTCCAGAACAAACGAAACTCGGCCCCGACCGAAGTGCTGTCTTGGCTGAACCCAAGGCTTCTCTCTCTTTTGATCTTCATAGATTTATTTTTATGTGTATGAGGTTTAGGGATTTTTTTTATTTGTTTTATTTTCCTGAGGCAGGGCCTCACTATATAGTCGTGGCAGAGCTGGAGCTCACTGTGTAAACCAGGCTGGCCTCAAACTCATAGAGACCACCTGTCGTCACCTTCTGAGTGCTGGGATTAAAGGTGTGTGCCACCATGCCCTGCTCATGTGGCTTCTTCTCTTAAGGAAGCCTAGTTCTTGGTCCTCCTGGAAGTTTTACCTCAACCTGCCATACTTATCTCCAGAGAAACTACCTCTATCCCTTTTTTCCTTATTCTTTTCCCCCTTTCCTCTTCACAAAAGCTCAAATAATGCCACATTGCCATAACTTTTTAATTATTAGCATTATATAGCTAAGGATTAACAGGACTAGTTACCATTTATGGATACTTCTCATGCACCAGGCACTGTATTGGAGCACTTTGTACCCTTCAAACAATAGCTATACTTCCTGTTTCTATGAACTTAACTATTCTAATATTTCATATAAGTGGAATTGCATAGTATTTCTCACTTTACGGCAGGCATATTTCACTTACCATAATGTCCTCAAGGTTCATCCATGTTGTTGCATGTAATCAGAATTTCATTCCTCTTAAAGTTTGAATACTATTCCATTATATGTGCAGACACATTTTGTTCATGCATTCACGTGCTAGTCGGTACTTGGGTCGCTGTGACTATTGTGGTTAGTGCTGCTGGGCACATTAGTATATAAATAACTGCTTGGAATGCTTCCCCAGTTCTTCTGGGTATATGTGAAAGGTGGAAGTTCTGATTAGTAGTTCTATGTCTAACTTTTTGGGGACCATAAGCACTGTATATGAGGTTGGTACTTTTGTGTATCGGCTTTCCAAACTTGAGTCCCTTGAAGGTGAAGATGTATCCAATCTTGTATCTCAGGGCCTACCAGTGGGTCTAATGGTAAGTAGACAGGCGCCCGGTAAATTGTTCAGTGAACGCTTCAAGGCCTGAATAACTGGGGTGCTGATGAGCCAGGGCATGATCCAATGACTCCCTGGAATGGAATGCGAGGTCCTACCTATTCCAGCCTCCAGATGAAGGGATGGGTTGGACGGGCGGGGGCGGGGGTGGGGGAAACAGGACTTCTGGGCTTTCTGTAGGCCTTATTTCTTTCTTTGGTTCACCAGCAAGCCATGAAGGAGGAATTCCAGTTTCTGTGCTGCCCGGGCTGCAAGGCCCAAGCCAGGTGCCCCAAGCTGCTGCCTTGCCTGCACACGCTGTGCTCTGGATGCCTGGAGGCGCAGGGCTTGCGGTGCCCCGTCTGCCAGGCGCCGGGGGCTGGCGCGGAGGAGGCCCTGGATAACGTGTTCTTCGAGAGCCTGCAGCGGCGCCTGGCGGTATTCCGGCAGATCGTGGATGCGCAGGCTGCGTGTACCCGCTGCAAAGAGTCGGCTGACTTCTGGTGTTTCGAGTGTGAGCAGCTCATGTGCCACAAATGCTTCGACGCGCACCAGTGGTACCTCAAGCACGAGGCCCGGCCCCTGGCCGAGCTCCGCGACAGCTCAGTTCGCGAATTCCTCGACAGTACGCGCAAGTCCAACATCTTCTGCTCCAATACCAACCATCGCACCCCCGCGCCGACCAAGTGAGTGGAGCATCCTGGAGCCAGCAGGGGTGGGAGCTTCGGGGAGGCTCGTCGCTCAGAATGCGGTCCGCTGGCTTGTAGTCGTTTCTAATGCCCCTCTGAAATATATAGTGCTGCAGAATCATCCTTTCCCCCTTACCTAGTATGTCTTTAGGACAAAATTTTTCAGGGTGCCATTGCAAGTGAGGTGTAAAAACAGTACGTTTTAGTGCATGCCACAGAATTTTAGATGTCTGAAGAGTGGACTCTTCCTCGGGGGCCCCAGGGAGTCTCAGTAAGGCTGGATGTTTAGATAAAGGGCAGGTAACCGCTGTCTGAAAAGTTGAAACTATATCATCGGGGAGTGCTGGCCGAAAATGTCTATATGAAAAGAGCAAAGAAAAAGACAAGAGAAATTCACTTGTAATTATTTTTGTTAAACGGCATATTTTAATTTCATGTTTATATAGGGAATGTATTTATATGGCTCACAAACAAAATTTGTACTATAGTTTTCAACACTTTCCCTCTTCACAGGGCAGCTGCCCTTACTAATTTCGAATGCTTCTTTTAAGTTTCTTTGTGAATATACGTTCAGGTAGAGTAGCTTTATAAGGGTTTGTCTCTTCCTTTTTAGCAAATAAGGTAGTATATGATACATGAACCCTTGACTCCTCACAAGCAGATTGCTTGCATACGGTTCTGCCTAATAGGACTAGTAGTTCTTGGGAAATTAGCCGCAGCAGAAAGCATTTCCTCATGTGGGACACCCCTTAACCTACAGACTCTGTACTCCAGGAGCTTGCTTCCGGCCAGAGTCTCGGAGGAGTCCTGCCCGCCCCTGCTGGCCTCCTCAGCGTTCACTGCTGCTCCATTTGCATTTCATTGGGCACTGTTGAGATCCAAAGGCTTTCCTGTCTGTTTACGGGTCCTTGTGTTTCCTCCTTTGTGAACTGCCAGTTGGAAGGCTGGTTTGCTTTTCCTTTGAGGAGTTCGTCCCTCTGTAAGACTCTGTGGTGATAGTCTTTCACTTAGTATGTGATATCGTATTTAGAATAACTCTTTAGTTTTAGGCAATCAAATGCATCAGTCTCTCTCTTGATGGTGTATGGCTTTAATGCAGTCTAAGGAAGAGCTCATGTCTATGTTAAAAAATAATCTCTATATGTTCTATGATCTTTTAGTATGATGAGTTAAATGAATGTCTTTTCTTTGAACTGGATTTTTGGTTCCTAGGAGGAAAAATTCAACTTGGATCTTGATAAACTATTAATTTCATTCCTATCTAGTTAGTTACATTTTGAAATATTTTAATATTAGGCTATTCTCTGTAACAGTAAGTACAATCAATTTAGTATGAAGTATATATATGGTTTCTGCATTAGGTTTTCCTGTCTGTTTTATACTAATCTTTTTAATTTGCCATCTTTCATTTCTTTGAGCATGGTAATACAGTCCTTCATAGGGGATGATCGATTTCTTCACCCCTCAGAGAAGTGCTCATCTTCCTGGGAACTCTAAGCCACTTCAAGATTACTCATAAGCCAGGAAGCCTTCACTACCCACACTAGGGGAGCAGAAGCAGGCAGGTCTTTATGAGTTTGAGGAATCTAGTCCACATAGCAAGTTCCAGGCTAGCCAGTGCTACAAAGTGAGACCCTGCCTTAAAAAAAATTACTTATAGTGCTAAAAAAATATAAATGCCATGTAAATAGGTTTTTATACTTAACTATATTTGGGAAGAATGATTTCTAAAAGTCTGTACAAGTACAATATGAATTGTGTGTATGTGTGTGTGTGTGTGTGTGTGTGTATTCTCATGCACTCACGAGTGCATGTGGAGACCAGGGGACAATTTTGGATGTTGTTCTCTCTTTTTTTAAACTAACGGTTAGGGAAATTTTTTTTTTCCACCAACCTCAATGTCGTAAATAATCCACAATTTCCCTTTGGCCACAAGTCAAAATAAACCACCCTGGCTTTTGTCATTGAGCTGGCATGTAGCTCATGCTGGGGAGCAGCAGAAGAGGTGGCTTTTAGTGGGGTGGGGGGTTAGGGTGTGCCCTCGGGTCACTGGCATTTGACCACCATGCCTGTGGAGTGGATTGGTTCAGCCCACCATCATGCCAGGCCTGCAGTGTGCCATGTCCTCTGTTAAGTATTGGAGTATGAGTACAGACAGACCCAGCCTTGCCTTCTTGGGTGCCTGGGGTGGACCAACAGACCCAGCAGTGAGCAGCAAAGGCGCAGAGTGACCGGGCAGGGAGCCTGTCTCTTAACTACCCTTTGAGCCTGCGTTTCCACAGTGACTCTGAGCACACCTTCTCCCTTGTTGTGTTCCCTTGATAGCAGTACCTGCCCAGGACACTGATCCCCAATGTGTGGGCAGAAGGAAGAAGGAAGCAGGGCATGAAGGTCGAGATTGCAGAAATCCACCTGCCCAGTGTGGCTGGACAGAGAGGCAGCTTCTAAGAGCGTGTCATATGACTTAGATTAGCAGTGCCCCTGAGGAAGGAAAGAGAAAGGCCAGAAGGAGAAGGCGTCACGGCTGAGGTAGAGCACTAGGGAATCTGTGAGTCTTAGACAGTGCACTATGCAGGGAGAGGAAAGATGAGCTGGGGTCAGACACACGGGGCTTGGGAGAAGTCAGGACTTTATTTCACACTTTCCAGAACATTCACCTTGTTCAGCTTGCTCTTTTTTCCATGCACACACTCTTGTCATTGAGTACCCTATAGAGTGTCAATGAGACAATGGAGTACGCTGCTGGGCACTCACTGCTGGAAGTCATAGTTAGACCCTCTTCCTGCACTCTGGTTCTTTGTCCCAAGTGGACAACTTTGGCAGCTGCTAGGTGAATGTTTATTTGATCGGTTGCTTTCTTATTTCTCTATCACAACTGTTTGGCAGGACTTATTACCTTATGTTGGGTATGTTCAGAAACTGAAGTATAGAATCTGGAGGGAAAAGGAACCCCCTTAGGTTATTTGTGGTCTATGGGAAGGGACAGGGGCGGGGAAAGACTGAGTCTCACGGTGTTAGAGCCTGTGGGACCTGGAGGCTCACTTGATAGGCCTAGATCACACTTATGAGTGATAGGGATCTAGGGCTCTCTGTGTCTGGATGTTTGAGCTTAAAGTCTGGTGGATTGGGGAGAGGGAAGTCAGCCAGGGCATCAAAGTCTGTAGGCAGGTACTATAGCTGTATGGAGAGAATGGAATACTTATTCATCAAATTAAAGAAGTGTGGTGGGGGCCGGGTGGTGGTGGAGCATGTCTTTAATTCTGGGACTCAGGAGGCAGAGGCAGGTGGATCTCTGTGAGTTCGAGGTCATCCTGGTCTACAGAGTGAGTTCCAGGACAGCTAAGACTACACAGAAAAACCTTGTCTTGAAAAACCAAAAAAAAAAAAAAAAAAAGAAAAAGAAAAAGAAAAAAGAAAAGAAAGAAGTGTGGTGGGATCAGAAGCCCAGTGGAAAGTCTCCAAGACTTTCCAGAAGCTGGAATGGCTGGCAACAGGTGACAGAAAGGCAGCTCCAGGCAGGAACCGATGACATCCAATGGCAAAGCTGTGACAAAGCCAGGACAAGCGAGGCTGCTGCTGAAGACGGACATGCTGGTGGTTCTGCTTTGCTTACCAGCCCTGCCTGTCCCCACCCTTCCTGCCTACCCACTCACCCACCCCTGGGGAATCTGTCGTGCAGTGCGTCTTTTCCTGGGGCTCATGGCGTTGCTGAGACTGATTTCTGGCCCGCGAGGAGCGCACCGCCACATGGCAGAAGCAAGGTTACCGCCTGCAGTTGGGAACATAGCAGACAGGATGGTAGTGACTCCTTCCTCAGTTCTGAAATGCACTTACCCAGGAAATGTGGCTTCAGACCCGGGAATACCCGTGCTCCATTTGGTAGGATATTACGTGGATAAAAGAGATTTCTCCTCCACACACCTGACCCTTGTGATGTTTCAGAGGGAAAAAAAAAAAAAAACAAAGAATTAAAACTAACTCAAGGCAAGATCAGGGTTCGAGTGTTAGTCCCCGGAAAGGCTGGACTCTCTTCTCCAGCAGTGGCATTGGGCTTAACTGCTCAGAGATGGGCCATGGAGACTTTTGACAGCGTAGGTTATCAGTGAGACTGAATGGTAGCAGGCTTTTCTCACTGATTCCTAACTCAGAAAATGAAGCCAACTGGAACCACATCTGTTTGTCTGTCCATCTGCCACTGAATAATCAATTAGGGAGGCATCAGTTTACTTCATGCTGGGCATTGAAACATCTGTTGCCAAACAAATGAGAATTGGTGTCTTTGAGGGCTGAATATACAGCCTTTGATCCGAAGGCTGTGTTGAGTACACACAACACAGTGCTCCCTGGTGAGGACTCCCAGGCCCCAGGAGATGGCTTCAGATGCAATGCCAGGCAGTTTGAAGGACGAAGGCCTTGTATTTGACTGAGAATTAGAAGCAGTTTTAAAATCATATTTTGGAGAGGTTTGTTGAGTCCTGTGAGTTCCATGAAAAACAATTTGTAAAAATGAGCGAGAAATGTTCAGTTAGCTTCTGGAGTGTAAAATGGTTGATGGCTCATATAAGCCAGGAAAGGTGGTCTGGCGCCTGACCCCAGCCTGATTAGACACATAGCTTGTGCCACCAGGAAGGTCTCTGTATTTCTGTGGCCTGGCTTTCTGCCAAGGCCACTCTATTTACAAAAGGCTCTTTCCCCAGGGTTGCCAGAGGATTATAAGAGCTAAGGAAGTTAGGTACATTTAGGCTTGAGTCCTGGGGGACAACCAATTCAAAGCCGAGTCTCAGTATTATCACCGCTCGCTCGATAAGTACTCTCCTTGAAAAGCTGCTCGGAATGCTAGGGGCCATTCAGCTTGGCCTATGCCAGAGTTATGCTTTCTCAAAGCTCATGGGTGTGTCCTCCTTAAAAGAAAGTCTGATTCCATACTGATGTTAGGAGGGGGAAGTGCCTTTAATGTGCCTCGTAAAAATGGCTACTGCAAAAGAATCAAAGAAAAT